TGGAATGGGTGCGCGCGCCATGCCCAGGCGCGTCCCTGTGGCGGCCGCGCGGCGACGTCGCCGTGATGCCCGCCGAGCTGATCCCGCCAGCCTGGGCGGCTTATCGGCGACTACAGGACGATGGCTATGTGCTCGCCATCACGTGAAAAAGGAAAAAACGAGCGCATGCGAGAGCGGATATGCCGCTGGCGGATGCGCCGCCCTTCGATAGAGAGGTGCAGGAGGGAGGGGCGGATATGCCGCCGAAGAAGGAAGGCGGGCTCGGGGAGGGAAGGCGGCAGGAGGGAGCGGGGGCGGGCTGGCCGCCGACAACGAGGAGAGGAGAGGGGAGGCGGTGATGGCCGCCGAGGGGAGGCAGTTTGAAGAATAGTTGATCCCCCCCCCTCTCCCTCTCCCCCCTTCCCCTCCGCGCCCCGCAGGCGTCCTGAGGGCGGCTCGGCGCGTCGACCTGCGGCGCCCTGTCCTGAAAAACTGTTGTGTTGTAGTTGTTAAAACGTTTTTTGTGGTTTTTTCCCGAAACATAGCAATATCAAGAACAAACATGCAAAACATAGAAAGTTATGCAAATTTCGGGTTAACCGAATCGGACAGCCCACATCGACTTAGCTGACTTAGCTACTAAGTTGGGTATGTTGAGGTGTATGTATCGATATATCTTGGCAGTGGTACCCGATAGCTCAGTTGATAAGATGGATGGTTCTGTGAGTAGTATGTATGGTATGTTGTTGAATATACTTATCTAACAAAACGTTAAGTAGATGAATGCGAAGTTCGATATTTTATATATGTTGAATATGTGAGGTCAACTAGCATGAACCTACATACATCTTCGTTGAAACGATTTCATCGGATATACAACGCTCTTACCGCACTTACACCCACCCGACGATCAAAGCGGGGGCCCTTCCGAGCCCACGGGGCCGGCAGCTGCGGCAATGCGCTTGCGCGGCGGCCGCGCCGGGGCCCCTTTGCAGGCCGCGGGCGGGGGCGGGGCGCCCCTCTCGCCGCCCCCCCCCCCCCGGCCCCCCCCCCGGCCCCAGCCCTGGTACCCACACGAACACACCACGCTCGTCCTCCCGACCCCCCTCCCCACCCACCCACCCCTCTCCCCTTCCTCCCGTCTCCTCCCCTGTGCGGGACATCGTCAGGAGGGGGGCTGGCTCAGGGGGGAAGCATCGACCTGGAATCGGCGATACGTCGGCGATAGAGACGAACACACGTTTTTTTTATCGTCGGGGCGAGAGCGAACCTCTTCCGCTGAAAGCTAAGCAGGACGCGTACAGCTTTAATCAGCAGAGGAAGGTAGAGACGAACACACAAAGCGAACACGACACGAGAAGCGACGTTCGGGTCCAGCCCAGATCCGCGGAGCGGGAGCGGGGAAGGTGCCCTCCGAGACATTGAGGCCACAGGGCCGCCCGGTCGGGCGACGGAGCGCGCCGATCCTGCAGGGAAGCAGGGCCCGCTACCTGCTCTGCGCGCCTTGTACCCTCGGGGGTGGACGGACCCCCCACCCTGGCACGCCGATTCGTGACCTCCTCCTCCTCCTCCTCCTCCTCCTCCTCCTCCTCCTCCTCCTCTTCCTCCTCCTCCTCCGGGCGCAACGGAGTACCCCGATCGCCGAACGCGATGCGGTGGTAGCGTCTTGCGCGCCTGTGCTTGGCCCAGCCGCGGCCCCCAAAAAGCTGCGCACCAGAGGTCACTCTTACCCAGGGCCACCTCTTGCGTGTAGCCGAAGGGGGGGGTGGCAGGAGGGAGAATTTCGGGGGTGGACAGATGCCCCACCCTGACACGTCGATTCGTGAATTGTCCGTTTTCGGTTCTCGAGAGGGCGGCGCGGCCGTCATTTGTCCAGGCTGGCGCCCGCCAGGTCTGGGCCCGAGGTCGTTTTCACGAGGCCACGTTTTACTAAAGGGGCTTCTGCCCATCCCCGATAGCGCACGTCTGCGTTTCCTCGACCTCCCCCTCTGCCCTGCTCCCCCCTCCTCCAGCTCCCCCCCCTAGCCTTGCCCCTGGTTTTCGGGTCATACTTCGGCTCTCTGGCGGCCGTTTGCCACGATCCAAGCGCCCCCTCCCCTGCACGCTGGCGGCGAGGCGCAGCTGCTAAGAGGCATCTCGGGGCTGGGAAACCGCCGAGAACCAAGGAAAACGTCAGAAAATCTCCGGCCTCCAGCTCCCCCTTCTCGGCGACGAGCCCAGGAGGGAATGAAGAGGGGGCGGGCCTTCTCAGAAGGCTCAAAGGGCCTCCGGCCTTCTGCGAAGTGTTCTAAGTTTTTTCTCCGGAGGCAAAGGCGCGAGGGCGTCTGAGAAGCCCCCGCCGCCTTCTGAGGAGGCCCGCCCCCTCTCACTTCCCCCCGGACGCGCCGCCGACGATGGCGACCGTACAGGTGGCGACATCCGAACCCCAACCCAGCCGGTTCTCCTGAATCGATGGGAGGCACAGGGTTCAGATTTCGCGGTGTTCGAGGACGTCTGGACCCTACCCCCGCCGCCCATCGAGCTGCCTGAAGCGTGCATCGGGACCCCCCTGCCAGGGGCGGCGCCGACAGGGGGCGTCCAGCGCCGTTCCACGCAATCCGCGCGGAGCTCCAACACATCATGCCTGTGCCGTTTCTGCCTCTTCGGATGGCGCCGCCGAGACCCGCCGGCCTCGGGCAAGACAGCAGGCACATCCGGCCGGGCGACTCGAAGAGCCGCACGCCTCACGAAGGGGGGCGGAAACAAAAACTGCGTGAAGCAAAAAAGACGTCGGCCTAAGTGGGCCCCAGCCTCGGCCCGGGCCCCACCCGAGAGGCTCGAGAGCCCGCTCCAGAGCATCAGCGCCGTCGTCGCCGCCGCCGCCGTCGTCGTCCTCCTTCAGGGTCGGCGGCACCAGCCGCAAAGCCTCCCAAAGAGTGAATTATTACCAAGGGCCCCGTGCTGAGGACCTCATACTAAACGCATTATTGTTTAGCAATCCGTAGTACCGGCATCCTCGACAAGGAATCCGTATTCAAGGCATCCTCACAAGAAGAACTCGTTATTGAATGGTGTCCTTCCTGGGGCCTGCTTAATCCAGGATCCTTACTGAGGGAATTATTATTACAGGCATCCTTACCAAGGATTTCTGACGTACAGGGTACGAACGGCTCTTAACAAAGGCATCCTCACTAGAAGCTGCTTACTAAATTGACCATTACTCTGCATGCTGTAATGTACCAAGGATCCTATACTAAAGGCATCCTTACGAAGGCTAAGGGAACCCAGAATACATACGAAGCCAGACTACAATCTCCTTACCCGAGGACTCTTTATTCAGGATCCCTTACTGAAGGCATCCTGACTGAGGAGTTCGTGTGAAAGGCATCCTGGAGAACGAATCCGTTTGGCTGGCGCGCTTACAGAAGAAATCCTGACTGACCAGGTCCTTACTAACGGCTACCTACTTCAGGGATCCTTACCGAGGGAACCCTTCCAACGGGTACCCCTTGTTATTGGCGATTACTTACTGCAGGGATCCTTACTGAGGACTCGTTAACAGAGGCGTCCTCAGCAGAAGCTCCTCACTGAAAGGGTCACTGGTCCGTATCCCTTGCTCAAGGAACGGGGCCGCATCGATGTCATCGTCATTTTCATCATTTCCTTTCTTTCCGCGTCATCCTAAGTGCCTATGCCAAGAAACACCCTGATTGCCTCCAGGATGCCCTGGGTTTCTTTGGGTTTCGATGGTCTTACCGTGGAAAGCGTGACGTTCCCACACCAAAAATCAAGGGACGCCCTGGGGTCTCAGAGTTGGGTTTCTTCTGGAAGGTTTCTTGTGGTCGGGCCCCTGCTGCAAGGCGGAAACGCGGGCCGCCGTCATGTGCACCCCCACAACCGCATCGCCGACCCAGGAAAACCCGCGGGGACCTTAGGAAACGCATGATAGTGCCGCTCGCCGCCCTGGCTGGCCCCGTCGGGCACAGTTTGGATCCACGAGCTGCGTCGTTGGTTTTGTCTGCGTGATGGCACAGTTTTCATTCACAGGGGAGCAGTTCCTGAGGTCCTGCAGGTTTCCACTGGGCCCCAGGACTATCAGACAACGACGCAGGATGCAGAGACGGTCTTGGGGAAAACTCCAGGGTCCAGACCCCTTTTCTCTCAGGTCCCGTTTCTCGGCATCGTTTCCCCGTCCCCATCCAGGGCCCCCAGCATCCTTGCACCCCAGTCGGGGACACACACCTCGAACCCCGTAAGGGAACTGCTTATATCCCCATCTAGGGAGTCAACCAGTCACTTGGGGCCCAGGCCACGTTCATGGGTATACACCTCAGGCGATGCTTAAGAAAACATAAGTTTTCGGCCAGAGTCTCGATTAGTCTTAACGTTTCAATGTAAATCTTAAGATTTTAATGGACATGTTGGGTTTGTATTACAGTTCTGAGACTATGAATTTCTTAACCCATGATTTCTTAAGCATTTCGCAGGGTATAGGGGTCGATCAAACGATGCCCAGCTTCGCTCCCGTCGAAGCTCGGCATCGCCTGGGTGTTGACACGCGCCCGTGCTGGCACGGGAGTCCCACACGCCAGGTGCGCACGCCGCCCCCGGCGTCATTCAGCCTCCTCCTCCTCCTCCTCCCTCCTCGGCGCTTCGTCCTCCTCCTCCTCCTCCTCCTCCTCCTCCTCCTCCTCCTCCTCCTCCTCCTCCTCCTCCTCCTCCTCCTCCTCCTCCTCCTCCTCCTCCTCCTCTCCTCGGCGCTTCGTCCTCCCTCCTCCTCACATCCGCCTTTCTCTCATGGCGCCAACGTCGCTGAGCGGATCTCGTTCGGAAAAAAAACGATGGGATGGGCCCAGAGTGTCCTGGAGAATGTCCTTCCAGATGTCGAGGTGAATTCCGTGCGGTTTTGCTTGGGCCAGGAATGAAACTTCAAAGAAATCCACGTGACATGAACCTCATGTTTCGCTCGCCGTTGTGGGATTTTGCGTCGACAGACATCCACGCACAAATCAGCTGCAGCACGTTTGCAAGGTCGGTGCAATGATCCTTATCCCTCCTCTCACATCCACCTCTCCTCCGCGCCCTCCTTTCACTTACCCTGCACAGAACCAGCTGTTTCGGCACAGCGCGCTGCACTTCGTTACCGCATTCTTTTCACAGCACCGTGCGCCAGCCTCGGGAGGCATGGTGCGTGCGAGCGTTCTGGCCTGTCTCGCCCTGGTCGGGTCGGCGCTGGCCGCCGACGTCCCCGAGCTGAGCCTCCTTCAGCGCGGGGATGAGCTCGACGGCGGCTTCGGGGACGAGTCAGAGCTGACGGTCGGCGACGAGCTGGAGGACATGATCGAGGCCCGGCTACGCGCAAGGGGTAAGAAGCACCTTTCGCCGGAGTGACCTTTCGCCGGTGCGGGCCCACAAGGGTCTGGCTTGCTCGCTTGGAGTTGGCCCCATCGCAGCCCCCGGATGCCACGCGCCAAAGGTCACTCTTGCCCAGGGTCACCTGTCTGCGTGTGGCCGAGAGGTGATGGTGGAGGGCAGGCCGAAGGGGCGCAGGGCCAACCCCACGCACAGGTCCAAGGACAACTTGACCGCCTCTCTGGACCAGATCATCCCTCTCCTGCAGGCCGACTTCAAGAAGAAGACCGAGGCCCTGAAGAGGACGCTCCGGGCCTTCAAGGAGAAGCAGACGGAGCTTGATTTCGCAAAGAAAGAAGCCACACTCGCCATGAAGGATCTGCGTAAGGAGGCGGAGAAGCGCCGCAAGGTCATTCTGGACAGGAAGAGGGCGAAGGAGGACGAGCGTCTGGCAAAGATTGAGGCCCACCGCGCCGCCAAGGAGGCTATGATCAAGAAGGTGCAACAACCTTTACCTTATTCTTCTACTCCTGCTCCTCCTCTTCCTTCTCCTCCTCCTCCTCCTCCTCCTCCTCCTCCTCCTCCTCCTCTTGCCTTTCCATCCTCGCCCAGCCTTCTCCAGGCGCAGATGCTCATGGGCGCAAAGGCCAACTCCGAGATGTCGGGCATGCTGGGCGAGGTCACTCTGGGCATCATGGTCGAGGTGATCATGGCCCCCCTCGTCGTCGTCGTCGTCGTCGTCGTCGTCGGCGGCGGCGGCGGCGGCGGCGGCGGCGGCGTTGACGTCATCGTCGTCGTCGTCGTCGTCGTCCTGCTCTCCCCCTGCTGCTGCGCACCGCTCCTAGGCCGCGCGCGCCGCCGCGTGCGGGCATATCGGCGCATGCCCTCCACCTATGCCTGTGGCTGGCCCGCGCAGCCTGCCGAGCCCTCCTCCTCCTCCTCCTCCTCCTCCTCCTCCTTCCTCCTCCTCCTCCTCCTCCTCCTCCTTCTCCTCCTCCCCCTTCTCCTCCTCCTCCTCCTCCTCCTCCTCCTCCTCCTCCTCCTCCTCCTCCATCCTCCTCCTCCTCTCTCCTCCTCCTCCTCCTCCTCCTCCTCCTCCTCCTCCTCCTCCTCCTCCTCCTCCTCCTCCTCCCCCTCCCCCTCCCCCTCCGCCTCCGCCTCCGCCTCCGGGCCCAGGGCAACGTCGCAAGGCGCGAGGCGTGGGCCCGACCCTCCGAAGGCCACCTCGGCGACCGCCGAGCCGTCGCCACAGCAGGTCAACGCCATGCTCGAGCGCCTGGCCGCCAAAGCAGCCGACCAGCCCCGTGCGCAGGCTGCGCTGGCGCTGGTCAAGGAGCTGGCCGCGCCGCCGCTGCCCACGGCGCCAGGGTGACCTAACGACACCTCTCGGCGCGCAACAGGCCTTTGCAAGGAGGCCTCCCAGCGGCATCAGGCCGCCGTCGACGGCGTGGTGAGGCTGGCGACGCAGCTGGCCGCCGCGCGCAGGCGCGAGACCTAAGCGGCGTTCCAGCCGGCGGAGGCCGAGGCCGCCGAGAAGGTGGCGGCCGCCGCGGTCGCGCAGCAGGCCGCGCAGGCCAGCGGCCGCCAGGCCCAGGCGCTTGCCGAGGACGCTATATTCTAGCTCACCTGGGATCGAACCTGTTCCAAGAGGTCCAGCCCTCCCTCCGCCTCCTCCTCCTCCTCCTCCTCCTCCTCCTCCTCCTCCTCCACCTGGGATCCGAACCTGTTCCAGGAGGTCCAGGAGCTCGATGAGACCGAGCGCGCCCACATGGAGACGCTCGAGCAGACGTTCACCAAAGCCAGGCAGGACTTGGCCGCGACGGCCATGGAGATCAAAGGCAAGCCGGCCGCCGCCAGAGAGCTGCACCAGCAGCATAAGAAGCGAGCGCTCAAGAATCGCAAGCCGAACTCGGGCTCGCCCCAGCGGGCGGAGGTCGCCGAAGCAGCGCCGACGACGCCCGGGGGCCCGCGCAGCCCGCCGGCGGTGCCTCCACCGCCGAGGCCGCTCCGGCGACCGCTACATCGGCCTCCGACGCGGGAGGCGGCGCAGGCCGGCGGCAGCTCGGCAGCTCAGGCAGCCCGGCCCCGGCCGCCGCCACCACCAGCCCTGAGGCTCAGGCCGTCCTGGTCGCCGAGGCCTCAGCAGCGCCAAGCTGGCGGCTGCGCGTGCGGCGCGGGGCGCAGCGGCCGTCGCGGCCGCGAAGATCTCCACAGCCGAGTGAGTATTATCGCGGGCTGCCGACGGGGCAGCGCGGACCGAGGCGTCAACCGGGGCGCCCCCTGCGTCCGGCTCGGGATTTGAGCTTGGGGGGCCTGCTGTGCCACAGCAGGATGCAGCCGAGGCCAGGTCTGCGACGTCGCTCGTCGCGGACCTGGACTCCGATGTTGTTGGTAGCGGCCAGGGGCCGTCTCATATTCTTCTCGAATATCACGGAGATGGGGCCGAAAGCCTGGGGCTTCTTGGAGTCGAACGTGGGATGCTTGAGCTACTTCTGTATGGCTGAGACCCACATTAACAAAGGTCCACTTCGAGAAGCGGCGCCAAGGTCAAGGTGCTGGGTCTCAAGATTTTGCCCAACCAGGCTCGCCCGTCACGGCGAGCCAATCTCGAGCATTACAGTAGCGGCGACCAGCATGGCACGGAGGGCGGCGAATGGCTCTTGTGCAAGCGCGACCGCCACGTCCACACGCTGGATCTCGCCGCCACGGCGCCTCGCAGTCTCCGAGCCCCTGGCTCGGAACATTTTGGGTGGCTCCTAGGCCAGCGTGGTTCATCTTCGCGGCGGTCAGTGCGTGGTTCTGATCACCTTCTACGGGGTCAGCGGGCTGGGCTGGCGAGGCAGCAACCTTAAGTTCGCCAAGCTCGGGGCGCTGGTGGCGTCCTTGCAATCCCCATGGCTATCCATGGGGGACTTCAACATGAGTTACCAGACCCTCCAGAAAGCCGGATTTCTACTCGAGCTGAAGGCTCGTTTCCTGCAGGCCGACGTGGCCACCGCCTGCGACGCGGGCAAGGAAGGCTCGCACATCGCCCACGGCCTGTGCTCGGAGTCGCGCGCCCCGCCGATTGGCAGCATCCGCGCCCCGGCGCCCGCGCCCTGGGGCGCGCACCTTGGGCTCACGCGCGGCTTCGCAGCGACGAAGGCCTGGCGCTGCGGCAACTGCTTCTGCCCAGGCCCCCGCCGCAGGCGGCCCGCCCCTCAGCGCGGCTCGCGCGTCCGCGAGGGCGAGGGGCACGAAGCCGAAGGCCGCGCCCGACCGTCGGGCCTCCAAGAAAAGCGAGGCCAGGAACTGCACCAGCAGCTCTTCGGCGATAAGCTGAATGCTTCTACGGTGGACGTCTTCGACAGCGACGCTGACGCCGGCTCCGCCTCCTTCGGCGCCGACGCAGACTTCGGGTGCGATGCCGAGGAGTCGGGATGCCCGGTGCTTCAAGTTGCCGCCCTTGGGTCTACGACGAGTTTCGGCAAGGCTCGACGACCGTGACCCCCCCCCGCGGCCGCGGAGCCGCCGCTGGATGACCGCGACCCCCCTCGCGGTCATGGCGCAGCGGCCTCTCGCGCGGCCGCGCGCGCAGCCCCCGCCGTCGACGACGCCTCCCACGACCCCTTCGACGACTTGGAGGGCGATCCGCAGCTTGGAGGCGGCGTCGCTGGCACCCAACGCCACCCTGCGGCAGCCGCGGGGGAGAGCACCTCGGGCTCCTCGGCAGGGGCGAACGAGATGATGGAGACGACCCGCTTGGAGGAGCGCGAGCCTGCATGGCCACGATTCGCCCCCGGCCTGTCCCGCCTGCGACGCGAGGCGCCCCGGCGGCCCCGCGTCTTCAGGCTGCGGGCAGGCCCGCGAGGGCGCCCCTCCACGCGGCGACTCAGACGCAGCGGAAGTGGATTGTTACGTCCCCGGCAGCACAGGGGCGGCCATTGCCGACCGCAGCTCCCGCCCCGCAGCCGCGGGGTCAAAGCTTGCACTATCTACCACCGGAGGCGCGCCCTGGGCCGAGATCTGGACCGAGGTCGCCGCCTCCGCCGCCGCGCGGGTGGCCAGCGCATCTGGGCGGTCGGCAACCCGTGCGCGGGCCGGGCAGCACGTCGGGCGCGCCATCCTCGCCCGCCACGGGCGTTCAGGCGCTGGCCCGTCTCGGGCCGACGGAGCCGACCTCCAGCTGATGCATGCCGCTCGGGAGAAGCACGTCCGCGCCGACCCCGCGCGCGGCGCCGCGGCCGGCCAGTTGGCGCAGGCGGATGCCCTCCTCAAGAGAGCGGCCAGGTTGCGGAGGAGAAAGCAGAGGGGCCCGAAGCGCGACAACGCGCCCCAGCAGACGGACCAGCACTTGCAGGCCACCGCCCCCTCGCTTGCTCAGCGAGCGATGCGACCTCTGGCCAGGTGCAAGCGGCCGCGCTCGGCCCTCGCGCACTGGCGCGACGCGCAGCGCGGCCTCCGCGACGCACATCAGGCGGGCGACGACGCCCCGGCAGCCCTCGCAGAGACGGCGGGGCCAGCCGCGCAGCGGGCCAGGAGCCAGGCGGCCAGCACCTCGCTGGCCGAGTTCCGCAACTGCACTGCCACTTCCGAGGCTGCCCCGGCGGCGTTCCGCTCGCGGCGCCGCGCCGTCTCGCCCGCCGAGGAAGTCCTCATCGGCGACGCTGTCCCGGCCCACCCCGTCGAGCTCCTGGGCGAGGCCCGGAGATGGGCCCAGCTCTGTGCGCCACAGCCGGCGGACCTGCAGGCCGCCGGGGCCCCGTTCGACGAGCTCCGCGAGGAGCTTCCCTTCACCGAGCTGGCCCCGATCTCGGTCAGCGACGTCAGGGCTCTGTAACGATCGTCGTCAGGCCGAGGCGTCGACCAGGTCTCCGCGCTCGACTTGGAGCGCCTGCCCGACGAGGCCCTTCAGGAGCTCGTCGACCTCTGCAGCATCTTGGAGTCGACGGGCACGCGGCCATGGCAGCTGTTGCTGGTGCTGGGCATCTCCACGGCAAGAAGGGCGGCGGCGAGCGGGCCATCGGGGCCCTCGGCAAGTTTACGCGGCGATGGAGAGTGATCCGCGAGGAGGCCACGCGCGAGTGGCCCCACCTCACCGCCCCCATTGGGGACGCGGCGGTCGCACGCAACGCGGCCTTGAGGGAGGCCTTCGCAAGGGCCGTCGACGAGGAGGCCTGCGTCGCCCTCGGGGCCCCTTGCGGCCTTGGCATAATGGACGCGCGGCAACTCTACGATTTCATGGGCTGGGCGCCCCCTGCCCGCGCTGCCCAGCATAGCGGTTTCCCGGCCGCCGTCTTGGCCCTCGAGCTGCAACAGTTCACGTCGTGCCTGGTGCTGCGGCAGGATGCGATGGCATTGCAGCTCATCTCCCCGCCCCAGCGCAGGGCGCCCGCTCGGGCACGCGCTTCGGCAGGCGCATGACGCACGACGCGCTGCGCCGGATCGTCTTGGGCCCCCCGAGGATGCTCACCCCGAGAAGCTGGGCGGGCGACGTCTCTCTCTCGGCCGCGGGTTGCAGGAGCGCCGTGGTAGATCGATTGAGTTCCTCCATTGTCTCGTTCGGCCAGCTGCTCAGGGCTGATGGGCCCCAGATCTCCCCGAAGAGTGCGGTCGTCTGCTCGCGCCCCGCTGACGCCGGCACGATCGTCGCCAGGGTGGCGAAGGAGGGCTTTCACGTCAAGTCGGCCCTCCAGGCAGCCTGCCTGGGCGAAAACCTCGGTG